TAACAAAATATAAATGTGTTTTGCAATAAAAAATAGTCTTGAAAATTTCAAATACTCACTACAGTATTATTAATTATAGTCACCCTATTATAGATGCTATAGAAAATTATTTAAAAATATATTTTTATTTACTTCAGAGAGGAATGGAGAGGGAGTGAGAGAGAGAAACATCAATGATGATAGGGTTATTGATTGGCTACCTCCTGCAAGTCCCACAATGGGGATCCAGCTCACAACCTCATCATGGGCCTGACCAGTAATTGAACCCTGACCTTTTGCTTCATAGGTTGATGCTCAACCACTGAGCCATATAAAATAAATCTCATTTTTTTAAAATTATTGATAACAAATCCATCAAAGCCACACTAGAAAGAGGTGAAGTACCTGCCTTCTTACTCAATGTATAGGATTGTAAAGGAATGAAAGGGTCATTGGCCAGCAAATGATCCCAAAATTAATTCTGGGATAATTATCTCAGACATTCCTCAACATGCTTCACCTATGAAAGCATATAGAGGAAGAAATTAACTTTTCAGCAAAAATCAAATAATTCTGAGAGAGGCTGCACTTCTGTAGTGCTGTTACATGGTGCTATCCCTTACAGGGACTAGTCCAACAATCACTTGTACTACTGTTTCCTGGATTTGTGATTCTGTCACACAGAATTTTAAAATTCTATAACCCTGCAATCTCATTACTACCTAAATAATAAGTATAGTAACTAGCCTGGCTGGTCTGACTCACTGGTTGGGCTTGGACCCAGGAACCAAGAAGTGAAAGTTTGATTCCAGGTCAGGGCACATGGCTAGCATTAAGGTTTGATCCCCAGTAGAGGGATTATAAGAAATAGCTGATCGATGATTATCATTAACGTGTGTGTGTGTGTGTGTGTGTGTGTGTGTGTGTCTTTCTTCCTATCTCTGAAATCAATAAGAAAACATATTTACAAAAATAAATATTGTAAAGTATCATAGGATATCAAATAAGAAAGGACTCTCAGGTTCAGTCATCTGCTCTTTGTTTTCTTCTTCAGTTGTACAAAGATTCATCTTCCTTATTTGAGTTGTTATGATTTTTTTTATTACTCTGCATGCATTTATGTTTTCTACTGACCTATAATCTCCGGATTCTTGGAGATTTTTCTTACCATTGAAGACTGGGTTTGGAGAAGGAGAATTGAGAAGTTTTTATGGTACCTACAAAACTTAGTTATGTTGGTTTAATTACTATTGTTATTGATTTTTTATTTATTTTTATAAATTTAGATTTTACTGACTTCACAGAAGAAAGAAAAAGGGTGAAAGAGATAGAAACATCAATATTGACAGAGAATCATGGATAGGCTGGATCTTACAAGCCCCTTACTGAGGACCGAGCCAGAATCTCAGGTCTAAGGTCTGACCAGGATTCTAACTGTGACCCTGGGCAGCCTGCTCACAGAATTATTTGATTTTTTACTGAAAAATGAAACTTCTTTCTCTATATGTTTACATAGAGGACTGGCAACATGTTGAGGAACGTCTGACATAAATTTTTCCAGAATAAATTTTGGGATTATTGTTGGTCAATGACCCTTACCTTAATTTACAATCCTATTCATTGAGTAAGAGGGTAGGTACTTCACCTCTTTCTAGAAAATGTGGGCTTTGGTGGATTTATCATTCATTTTTCAATAAATTTTAAAAGGTGAGATTTATTTAGATTTTCACATTTCAACTTTCCAGGAAAGTTAAATTATTTTCATTTCATTTATTTATAAAAATCAGACCTAAATTCCCAAACATTTTATAATTTAGGGGAACAACTTACATGGCGGGGGAATCAGTGATTTATTAAACTGTGATAGGTGCCCAAAAAAATACAGGTAACATGGCACCTCTGTTAAACATAATTTTCTACAGCATCTATAAGATGATGACTATAGCTAATAATATTGTATTTGAAAGTTTCATAAATCTTACTGCACAGTACATTTACATTCTGTTAGGATGAAAGCCCACAAGTGTTGTTTTCTGTGTGTTGTAAACCTAATCAGCCATCCTATTACCCCTGTTTCCCCGAAAATAAGACAGTGTCTTATATTAGTTTTTTCTCCCAAAGTTGCGCTAGGTCTTATTTTCAGGGGATGTCTTATATTTCCATGCGCTAGGTCTTATTTTCAGAGGATGTCTTATTTTCAGGGAAACACGGTACCATCTGAAATCTATTCAGGTTCAGGCTGGTTACTTCTTTTTGAAGACATTATCCAATGTCAGCAAGTGGGTGTGGCCTTACCTGGGTGGAATCATATAAAAGGCCTATCTGTGCAGAGGCCACTTCACTCCTTCTCTAGGTAGATTGACTGAAGTTAGAGCTGCCAGTTGAGCACAGATATTTCCTATTGATAGTGACAGGACGTCCAGAGGTGTGACCATTCTTAGTACACACTGGTGAGTATGGAATTTAGAGTAATTTTTTTTTTTTTTTAGTAAATATCTTCATGCCTTCTTTCTCTTATTACAAATATTTTCAATTTACCTGTTGAAGTGCTTGCATCTTCTTTAAGTAGACAAGTAGATTTCCTTATTAATTGAAATGAAATCAGTATCTGTGATTAGAGCAATTGTAATATATGGATATTTATTGTAGTAAACTATCCAAATATTTTTTATTTTAGTATTTAGTACCATATTGCTACTAGATTTTTTAGTTCTTAAAAGAGATTTCTCTAGTTTTCATGCAATTATGAAAATCATAAACACCTAAAATAGTCAACATAATATATCCATGTTAGTGTCTTAAAATACCTTAACCTTAAAAGTGTTCAATTAGTTAGGAAACATTGAAAAGGCTCTATATGCTATTTTCTGTTTTTTAAGCTTATGTGTCCAGTTTTTTATTTTTATCTCTAATAGGCATATTTTCATTTTTAAGTATATTTTTATTGATTTCAGAGAAGAAGAAAGAGGGGGAGAGAAATAGAAGATCAATGATGAGAGAGAAATGTTGGTTCGCTGCCTCCTGTATGCCCCCTCAACTGGGAATCAAACCCTCAACCCAGGCATATGCCCTGACCTCCTTGATCAGAGGTTAATGCTCATCCACTGAGCCAGGCAGGCCTGGCTAATTAGTGTTTCAAAGGGAAAGGGGGAAATAATCCCAGTCGGGAAAACAACCAATCAACCAAAACAACCAGCAAGCAAAACCCAAACCAAATCTCTTAGGCCCTTTTGGTCCTGAATCTTATTCCTGCTGGCTTCCTGAACAGGACAATTTAAACAGACGTCCCAGAGATGAGAGGAGTTCTAGATCAGAGGGAAAGACTAAATGGGCACTGAAGGGAAGGTCATATATTCAAATATAATATCATTTGAAATAAAATCAGCTGTAGGAGCAGTATTGGGAGCAGAATGAGGAAATATTTGCCAAGTGGATGTTGTTTAAAATCTAGGCCAATGGTGATAGAAGGAAATATTCCTGGAAATTCCAAAGGAAATTAATCTAATCAATGAAGTGACTCTCTTCCTCAGTATAATAACCTAATTAGGGTAGAGCTTCAGAAATCCCCATATTAATGTGTCTCAACATTCAGATTATTTCTGTTTGCAGGCATTTGAACTTGGCTGGAAAACTCAAAGGTTACAGATGGTTTTGGATACAAGAGCCCAGAGAACACAGAACTCCTGACCCAATTGGGTGGGTGTTCCTATGAGATCAATTATACAATCTTAAGGTTGAGCACACACTTGTAATTAAATGAATTCTCACTTCCTTCCTTAATATTCATAAATAAATACATATATAGTAATTTAATCTGTCGGTAGGCTTAAAATTCTCTTAAGAAAATGTAATTTGCCTCGTTAATAAAATTATATAATTACTTATAGTTTATTCTTGAGCTATAGAATTTTAACCTCTTATTGCTTTGACATTTACATAATTCTTTTTTTATGTTATATTCCTTGTGCATACAAATTGTGATATCTAGAGGGAAACTTTTGTATTTCCAGTACTTTTATACTAGGCATGAATCCTAATGCTTAATTACTTGTTGTAGAACAGCAAAAGTGACACATGCTTAAGGATGAAGAAAAGTTAACCAAATAAAATGTAAATATTCCATAATTTAAAAAATATATATATTTTATTGATTTTTTACACAGAAAAAGAGAGAAGGATAGAGAGCCAGAAACATTGATGAGAGAGAACATCGATCAGCTGCCTTCTGCACACCCCCCACTGGGGATGAGCCCACAACCAATGTATATGCCCTTGACCGGAATCGAACCCGGGACCCTTCAGTCCACAGGCCAACGCTCTATCCACTGAGCCAAATAGGTTTTGGCAATATTTCATAATTCTTATTCACTCCTTGGCACTTGATGGGAGAATCAATATTGTTCATTAGAAAGTATTCATTCCCCTGCACTCCAGAAAATCTATAAATTCAAGGTTCAAGATTCACTCATAGAAAAAGATCAGAGTGGAATGCAAGTCTCCTTAGCTTGTTTCATTTTATTTAAAGCCTGTACCTTCGATCACAGACATTTGCTGCACTTGGAAGTGGCCACACTCAAGGCACTAGAGAGCAACAGTCCTTTCCCTTTTGGGCATTTCTACTTTCATTTTTTTTTTTCTTCTTCCCAGGGCTTTTTTCTTACGTTAGCCCTGAGTATCCGGTTGTTCTATTTAAGACCAGCCCTGGTGAGGTCAAGAAAAGACAGGCTAGAATGATAGGTGATGTTATTCTTTGAAAAACTGCAAATGAAGCATAAGAAACGTAAACATAAATTTTGCTTTAGACATTTTTTGTTTATTGTGTTAAGGCAATTTAATTGCATGAAGGACATTTTCCATGTGAGTTGTGATTTTCTCATTAATTCTTCTCTTTATTCTCAGATACACAGAACACAAGCTGTAAACTTCCAAAATAGCTCAGCTGCTAAGACTTCAGCTTGAATACTTTTGTGTTTCTGCTGTGGTGTTTGCATAATTGGGACCTCATCAATAGCCCAAATCAAATGGAGAACTCCAAGGCCTCTGTTGTCCCCAAAGGGAGCCCAGGCAGAGCCCGCAAAAAGTTTAAGAGAGATGAAAAAGAACTGAAGTCTTCCCAGGAAAATGATCTTTGGGGGGACATAAGATTCCGTGGAGAGCCTGAGAAGCCCCCCATGAATGCATACCAGAAGTTCCAGCGGGATGTGTGGTTTAGTGAGGAGCTGCAACGCATGCCACCGATGAAGCGCATGGAGAAGGTTGGCAGACTCTGGCATCGTGTCCCAACGAGCCAGAGGGAGCTTTATGAGCAGCAGGCTGAGGAGCTGCAGAAACAGTACAAGGTGGACCTGGATAAATGGCTCGAGACTCTGTCTCCTGAAGAGTATGCTGCCTTTACAAAGAGAAGCGGTGGGAAGCCTAAGAAGATGATCATGCCTGGAGGTCTGGACCCCAAAATCATCAGGACAGAAGTGCAGTCTCCATCAGCAAGGACTCTGCAAGAAGGGCTTGAACAGAGCCAGGGGCCGGATCCCGGGATGGCATCTTCAGAGACATATGGGGACCATTCTTATGCCTTAAGGGGTTCTGAAGAAAAGAAGGAGCATGAGGCAAAGGCAGAAAGCAGCAGCTCCTCAGACTCCAGCAGCAGCTCCTCAGACTCCAGCAGCAGCGATGAAGATGACAGCAGCTGCAGCTCATCTCCCCCGGTGGACACCTCTAACTCAGACTCCAACTGAGCTTTGCTCATTTCTAGATGGTGGGACAGAGAACTTCCCAACTGAAGTCGTTGGCATCTGTGTAAACTGGAGTGCTCTTCTCCCTGTCCCCTTTATATATATAGTAGAGGCCCAGTGCATGAAATTTGTGCATGGGGGGGAGGGGGTGCCTGAGCCCAGGCTGCACCCTCTGAAATCTGAAACCCCTTAAGGGATGTCCGACTGCCTCTTTAGGCCCTCTCCTACTCAGTTGGACATCCCTCTCACAATCCATGACTGCTGGCTCCCAACTGCTTGCCTGCCTGCCTTTCTGATTGCCCCTAACTGCTTCTGCCTATCAGCCTGATCACCCCTCAATCACTCCCCTGCCAGCTTGATTGCCCCTAACTGCTCTCCCCTGCAGTATGGTCACCCGTAAGTACCATCTCCTGCAAGCCTGTTCCCCCCAACTGCTCTCTCCTGCAGGCCTGGGTTCATTCCCCCAAAATTGCCCTTTCCTGATCGTTTGATTGGCCCACAACTGCCTTCCTTTGCATGTGTGGTCCCTCCCAACTGTCCCCTGCTGGCCATCTTGTGGTGGCCATCTTGTATCCACATGGGAGGAGCCATCTTTGGCCTCATGGAGGCAGCCATATTGTGTGTTGGAGTGACAGTCAATTTACATATTTTTTTTATTAGATAGGATATAAAACTGCTTTTATTTTATTTTATTTTATTTTATTTTATTTTATTTTATTTTATTTTATTTTATTTTATTTATTGTGTCCTTTTCCCCCAATGCCCCCCTTCCCTCACTCATGCCCTCTCTCCCCTGATATCTGTGACCATTGGTAGGCTTATATTCATGCACACTAGTCCATTGGTTGATCTCTCCCCTTACCTTCACTCTTCCCTACATTCCCTCTGAGGTATGAGGGTCTGATCTCCCTGTCCCCTTTTATTGCTTTGATTCTTCCTTTCTTTCCCCTACTCCTCCTCAATACAGAGTAGGACAGGTTGGGAAGCAGGGAATTGGGACAGTACTCTCAATATCAGATCCATACAATCTGGGAAGAGAGGTTCCTGCTGGGAGAAGAAATATATGTGAGCCTGTATTGGGTCCCCCTACACCATCAGTCCCACTCCCTCTAGGAGCCCCAAGCAATGAATAATCTTGAAACAAATGGTGAGGTAATTGGGTACCTGTGGGGGGCACATTACACTAGACTGTGTATTTCTGAAGAAAGTAGTTTTCCTTTCCTCATTTTCTGTCTACCAGAGGTCGTTTGAGGCCACCATGTGTCTGTGACTCCTATATTTTTTGCAAGAGCTGTAGCTCTGGACTCTTGCACTCATCTGGTGTGAGAAAGGAGTTGGTCATTCCTGTAGCATCATGTAGCATGTAACATGCAATATTTATACATGGATATTTAACTGACATTTCTATGAGTGGTTTTTACTAATTTCAAATAAAATTATATTTTATAATTTTAGCTATCTCGTGAATGAGTGCCTCCATAGAATAAATGCATTATAATTTGGGGCACTGCTTCTCTAAGAAGTGTGTGCATTTGTTCTTGGCAACACCTAAATTTCTTCCTGTTGCTCTAGGTTCAAGTGAATCTCCTATTTAGTGTTCATGGTTGATGGATATATGAGTAGATGGATGATTATATTGATAATTAGATAGATAGTAGATAGTAGACAGATAGGGATAGACAGAAATAAAAAGATATGGGGATAGCCTGACTGCTATCTTTCTGTGGTTAGAGCATTGGCCTTCACACCTAAGGGGCTCACGTTCAATTCCTGATCAAGGGCAAGTACCTTGGTTGCATCTTTGATCCCTGCCCTCATTTGGGGTGTGTGAGAGAGGCAACCAATGAATTTGTCTCTCATATAGGTTTCTCTCTCTCTCTAAAAATCAATGGGAAAAAATACCTTGGGAGAGGATTAAGAACAACAACAAAAGATATGTGGATAGATACATAGATATATACATAGAAAGATATAGACATATAAGTATGCAATATTCTGTTCCACTGGTCTATCTGTGAATTATTGTGGTAGTACCACGTTGCTTTGATTATTTGGTTTACTGATACATTTGAAAATCTAAGGCCGTATCATCAGATTCTATTCCCCTCTATATTTCTGGCTATTTCCATATTGTGTTCTCATGAATATAATCAGATAAAAGTAATTGTATCATTTTTATATGAAAATCATTTAGATAACTAATTATCTTAGTGAATTTTTATTAAGTGTTTTTCTAGATAAAGTACATTTTAGAAAATAATGGCAACATTTACTTACACATTTTATACCTCTAATCCTTTCTCTTTCTAAAAATGTTGGTTGGAATATTCAGAACAATGTTAAGTAATAACAATGATATGTGCTTATCTTGCATCTGACTTTCAGACTAAGATTTAAACTTTAAAGGATTTGCAACCATTGAAATTATGCTGATTAATATTATATTTAGAATAAACTATAAACTATTTTACTTTACTACATAATATGTATTCTTATTTAATACATCACTTCTATCAGATCAATAATATTTTCATTAGCTATATTCAGATCAGAGATTGGGTTATTATATGTCCTAATATTAAACAATCATCATATTCCATAAATAAACCTGTGTATTTTTTTATTCCATTTTGAAAAGATAACAGGAGATTAAGCAGATTTTCCAGCCATTCCTATGCTGGGAATATGACATTTACACAAAGCTTCTGGGTATATTCACTATATTCACTAACTCTTTTTCATAATCTAGATTTTTTTATTGACTTTTCCTATGGTAATAAAACCTGCTTGAGGAAAGCAGGCTGAGGGAAACAGGACACATTATTACAATAAAGCCAAAGGATTCCCCCTCTTCCCTAGAAATTGAAAAAAAAAATGTATTTGGGATAGAAAATCCAGCGAAGAAATTCAGAACAGTTCCAGATATCTAGCCTGGGCTCCTTAGCACCTAGTCTCTTTCACTTTGCATAAAACTGGAGAGAAAGTGGAAGGTAAGTAACACGGAACCATCTGGGTGTCACGATGTGCATGGTGTCTGACAGTCCAGAGGAATGAAGCTATCCCTCATGTCTATGCTACTTGAAGTTCAGGAGGGAAAATGAGGTTGCAGAGAGATTTGGCTTCTACATTTATTTTTTAAAAATATATTTTATTGAGTTTGTACAGAGTGGAAGGGAGAGAGATAGAGAGTCATGGGTCAGCTGCCTCTTGCACACCTCCTACTGGAGATATGCCCGCAACCAAGGTACATGCCCTTAGCTGGAATCGAACCCAGGTCCCTTCAGTCCCCAAGCCGACGCTCTATCCATTGAGCCAAACCGGTCTCGGCTGGCTTCTACATTTATCCTCTTAACAGATTGGCTCTCATTCATTAGGCATTTCTTTCCTTCAAGGACTGTAAACTTCTGGTTTCCCAACTTGGCTTCTCAGTCTGCTCCACTGCTTTCCCTGTTGTGGGATCTACATATTCTTATTTTAGTCTGCATGCTTTTCAGGCATGATTTGATTGTACCCATGTTTTCAATTATTCTTTTAAAAATATATTTTATTGATTTTTTTATAGAGAGCAGTGGAGAAGGACAGAAAGTTAGAAATATTGATGAGAGAAACATCATTCAGCTGCCTCAAGCACACTCCCTACTGGGTATGTACTTGCAACCAAGTACATGCCCTTGACTGGAATTGAACCTGGGACCCTTGAGTCTGCAGGTCAATGCTCTATCCACTGAGCCAAACCGGTTATGGCATCAATTATCATTCTTATATCAAGGAATTCCACATTGACATCTAATTTCATATGTATAGAAATTCATCCACAGAGAAATAAAAAATTCATAACATCTCAAATAGAGAAAACCATTTTCGGTGTACAAATGAAGAAAACTAAGAGCAAGTGATGGAACCTGAGATTCCTTCCTTGTTTGAGATTCTATGATGGCTTAGTTACTATATTTATTTATTTTTAAAAATATTTTTTCTTCTTGATTTCAGAAACAGGAAGAAAGAGAGAAGGAGAGAGATAGAAACACCAATGATGAAAGAAAATCATCAATCAGCTGCCTGTTACAAGCCTCCTGCTGGACTCGAGCCAGCATCCTGGGCATGTGCCCTTAAATGGCATGGAACCATGGCCTCTTAGTTCATAGTTCAATGATCAACCACTGAGTCATATTTGGTGGGCAGTACTAGACATTCTTATTTCATTTCTTATTTTTACAAGAAATCTTGCAAATTCTCCATTAAATATGATATTTGCCATAATTGCTTCTAGATCATCATTATAAGCTTATAAAATTTAATTCCCCTTTTTGTTAATAAGCATTTAAAATAATGAATGGTCTTTGAATTACATTGAGTGATTTTATATTGAATATAAATACTCAAATACATATGCATAACATTATTCATAAAATTATCTTATTATCCACTAACATCTAAATCATCTGCATGTTTGCTCTTTTTAAAAAAATCCACACCTCCTTCAGTTATGTTGGTTTATTTATTTATTTCCTTTGGAAGAGAGAAAAAGAGGAAGAGAGAGAGAGAGAGAGACAGAGAGACAGAGAGACAGAGAGAGAGAGGCAGGGATCCATTGCCTCCCATATGTGCCCTCACCAGGAATTGAACCTGTAACCTTTTGGTGTATGGGATGATGCTCCAATCAACTGAGCCACATGGCCAGGATGGTGTATTTGAACATCTCTCTCCCCTTTTAGAAGGATTAGTCTTCTTATGAGTTTATCAATTTAATTGATCTATTCAAAAAGCTAATTTTGTATGCTATTAAGTTTTTCATTGTATTTTCTTTAACTTCAGTATATTATGCATTATTATAAATTTTATTTCTAAGTATCTGATATGGATTTTCTTTTCTTAAGCTACCTTGTTAAGATAGGCTTTTTTTCTTTCATAATATAGTCATTTAATCCTACACATTTTCTAGTGCACACCTTCCAAAAAGTAATTAAAAACAATTGAAATAAATTTTAATAACATATTTAATC